AAAAAATACTGTGTGCTACTGAAGGATGTTACCTTTAAAATAATCATATCTTCAAAGGAGTAGAGTGTATCTGTTACATTTGCATTCTAGGGATGGTAAGTACTGGGTATCTGTACTGCCTCCTTCTCATCATAATCCTTCACACACTCTTTCCTGCTGGGTCTGAATCTTCTTGATCTTCTTGATCCAGCCTCAGAATCTTCTTGAAAATACAGCTCCAGGCAGCCCATATCAACTGACTGGCAAGATAAGCCACCCAGATAAAACCTGCATTCCTACCCTGACGCTCTTCATTTAGATCCCACATTGTATTACATTGTTTTTTGACATCCTTTCCTTGCTTTTAATTTGATAATTGCCATTAATGGTTCTCACATTATTTCACATGTGTATATATTGTATTCTCCCAGCACCAGGACTCTGCCTTTTATTTATCTCAGAACATCAACTCAAAGTGTTCTGAGTGACTGAGACAAATGTATGGTATTTATGGAAACAACTCAAGATTAAAAAACTCAGACCTGAAACAAAAAGTTGCCGTTGTTTCTGATTATGGCTTAGACCAGGGGTTAGTAAACGTTTCTGAAAGGGGTCATGTAATAAATATGAGCTTTGTGGGTCAGATGGTCTCTGACACACCACACAGCTCTGCATTGCAGTGTAAGGCACCCACAGACAATCTGTAGATAAATGTATCTATATTCCAAGAAAACTTCACTTGTGGACACTAAAGTCTGAATGTCCATACCATTTTCCCACATCACAAAAAAAGGATTCTTCTCTTGCTCCCAACCCTCACCCCCACCCTTCACTTCCCACCCCCAATTAAAAATTAGAAAGCCATTCTTAGCTTGCAGGCCACAGAAAAGCAGGAGGCAGGCTGGATTCGGCCCACAGGCTGCAACTCATGGGCCCTGGGCCTGGCTCTGAGATGTTCAAAGTGAGAATTTCTGGTGGTCTACAAGATCCAGCCAACAAGCCCAACTCCCTGTGTGTGACTGTGAGGCCGGATTTTCTTCTTGTCGTCAATGACAAGAGAGTGAACATAGAAGCAAGTCAAAGGGTCCAGCTGCCTTCTATTAAGCCAGAAATTGAAGAGATTTGCCAAAATGTAAAACATCACTCTTCTCACTTATTCTTTATGGTATTATTATGTGCATTATTATATTTCAGACACTCATAATGCTGTTTATGTTAACATGTAATGGGTTTATTACTGATTTTTAAATGGATTATTATCGGGTCTAGTAATAATTAATGTCGTTTTAAACATTCGTTTAAAATCTTGCTTGGCGTTGACTTGTATTGACATAACCTTCAAACACGTGGTATCTACAGAACGTGTGAAGTGCAATTAACAAGTTTTGCTTGAAAAAGTTTGTGTTTGGTTTGTTTTTTTGTTGCAAAACTAGGGCTAAGAAGATGGAGGATGAAGAGCATATTCGGCACTGCATGCTTTACGAGTTCCAATTAGGAAGAAAAGCAAGTGAGGCTGCAAAAAACATCTGTAGTGCTCTTGGTCAAGATGCAGTTAGCGCCAGAAAATGCCAGCGTTGGTTTGAGAAATTTCGCGAGGGAAATTTTTCGTTAGATGACAAGAGTGGTCGAGGCCATGTGTCCAATTTTGATCAAGAAGCTCTTCAAGCTCTTTTGGTGCAAAATCCTCAAATTACCCAACAAGAGCTTGCGACAACTTTAAATTGTTCACAAAAAACAATTTCCAATCAATTGCGTGCACTTGGCAAAGTCCAAAAGTTTGGAAAATGGGTTCCTTATGAGTTGGCCGACAACAGCCGTAATCAAAGAGTCACAATTTGCAGTTCGCTCCTCTCTCGTCAAAACCGTTTGCCGTTTTTAGAGCAAATTGTTACCGGAGATGAAAAATGGGTGTTGTATGTTAATTTGAAAAGGCGGCCTCAATGGTTGGACAAAAATGAGGCTCCGCAGCCCACGCCAAAACCTGACTTGCATGCGAAAAAAGTGATGTTGTGTGTTTGGTGGAATTTTAAAGGAATTCTTCATTATGAACTTTTACCATCTAACCAAACCATTACAAGTGCAGTGTATAGTGCCCAATTGGAAAGGTTAGCCCAAGCTTTAAGAGAAAAAGAACCCACGCTGATTAATCGGAAGGGCGTAATTCTTCACCACGATAACGCACGACCGCATACTGCAAGAATCACTGCTGAAAAACTGCGCCAGTTGGAATGGGAAGTTCTCCCTCAACCTGCATATTCTCCTGATATTGCCCCTTCCGATTACCATTTGTTTTGTTCTTTGCAAAACTTTCTTCTTGGAAAAAAATTTAATAATGAAGAATGCCTCAAAAATGCATTGACCGAATTTGTTGCATCAAAATCACAAGAATTTTACAACAGAGGGATTAAAATGCTTCCTGAGAGTTGGGCACAAGTAGTAGAAAACAACGGCAACTATATTGTTGGTTAAATTTTGTTGTATTGTTTAAATAAATTTGATTTAAAAAAGTATTAGAAAACGACATTAATTAGTACTAGACCTAATATATTGATTTTTGATTTCTAACATGAGGAATATCAGTAGCTATAACCCATGTGAACCAAAGCTCTCTGGACCCTCAGTAATTTTAAGAATGTAAAGGGATCTTGAGAGCAATTTGAGAACTAACTGCTGACTACAGCTGGTTGACTCATTCCCGAGGCACTTCCACCCACCAGACAGACCACCTGATTTCAGTCTCCATCCTGACTTCTCCCCACCTTAGAGCGGCCTGGCATTTCTTTGATTAGATTCTGATTTGGTAAAAATTAATCCCATGCAGTTTACATTCTTGGATAATAAAGTCGGTGAAGACAAGGTGGTACCTTCATGAAAGGACCCTTCCGAAACGTGCAGCCCACAAACACACTTCAGCCTTTACTGCGCCAAACAGACAACGCGATGCAAGGATTCCTCCTCGGCTTATATTTTTAAATCTTAACAGAAAGTATTGTGATTCCTTGCCTCCGTGAGAACATAGCTCAAAACAAATAGATTTCACTGGCTCCTTTATAAGTCAGAGACCCTTTGACTTGGCCCCACAACAACTGTGGGAGCCCTCAGGGCAGCTTGAAATCTAAAGAAAGAAAATTCATCAGACCTGATGCCAGTTTGTGGCAGTGCCAATGATAATGCACTGTCGATTGTTTTTGCAACATCTTTAAGCGAAGATTAACATTTGGTGTGTTCTGTTATTTGAGATTTAAATTTTTTTAGAGGAATATTTTAGGAGAAATAAGAGGGAAAGTAGTTTTATTTCCAGTGTTACCATAGAAGGAACCTTATATAAGGAAGCATTTCTTTCTATATAAATTAATTTGTCATAAGGTTGAGCTGTCTATCCAAATGATGTGTACTGCTGGCCTGGGGAATCCTGTCTGCCCCTCAATCCCCAACCCTAATTTTACAGAGATTTAAACAAAAATATGATTTCCAACATTAATCATTTTGTTGAATTATACAATAGCTAGAAAGTGTTTTCCCACAAGTATATGACTCTAAAAATCTCTTATGGAATAATAACTTTGTAAATACCGAAAAAAAACCAAACAAAAAAACCCCCTATATTTTAGGATATTTCTCTTCAACCTGCATTATAAAATACCAAAAAAACAAAAAAAAAACAAACCCAGACCAGGAATTATAATCAGATACTAAATCTGTCATAATTTGTGATTTTGGCTCCAACTAGTAAAATAAAACACGTTTGGCTATTTTGAATAACACCAAAACTGAAATTCACTAGCATCTTTAAGATCAGAAAGCCACTAGCAAATTATTACCTGTTTAGGGGATTACTACTCATCTGGGCAACAGTGCAAATTATATTAGAAAGATTTTGGTAGCTGTGATGCGCAATGAAGAACAGAAAATAGCCTTAAAATGTGGGGAAATGCTTACTGTATAAATCTACAGTAAAAGCAAAAGTCTCACCATGATTGCAAAACATTCAAAATTGTGAAACTTAATCTGTAAAATAGACAAAAGTAACCAGCTTCCTCAGTTAGTTTTGAGATCTCAGCATCAACTTAAAGAAATTGCTTATATTTAAAAGAAAGCCTATTTCAAAATACAAATCCCTATACTTAGTACAAATAAAGTCATAAATTGGTATGTCATACAGCATTCCTCTTGTTCTAAGTGTATGCAAATGAAGTTTTTTAAAAAGTGACTTGCTCCACTCTTCAATTCTTTAAGCAATAAAAGTGCCTCATGCCAAAAATAATAAAAGATAACTGATACTAAGGTAAAAACAGTCAAATTACATAAAGTCGGTATGTGAATTTCATGAGGAAAAAAGAAAACATAGATATGTATACTTCACTGAGTAGAAAAGATATATTGCTTCTGGCAAATACTGTCTACAAAACTTTTCCTATATGATAAATCATTTCCCCCATTCTCATTTTAAAATCAAAATTATGTTAATTAAAAAACCTTGAGTATAATAAAGTTGATTAGAAGGTAATAAATTTTAAAATCATATGGGATTTATACTACCACAAAGATAGAAGGGATCAAGAGAATTTTGGTCCATATATGAGAAGAAAAAATAACAGTCTGAATAAATATTGTTTCTACTATTCCAAAGCAACAAAACTAGAATCAAGTAAACTTATTTTAAAGCTTGGCACAGCAGTTTAAAATTTGAAAAACACCTTGTTATTTTAATAAAATAATTTTCAGTATTATTTCCCCCCCTATTCCCCTCCTCAGCAGGTGGACAACACAGTGTAAGTTTCTGTAGCTGGCGGGGAATTTTCTTAGCACTTTGTGGAAACTGTTGGCTTTCGAAAACAGACAGGCTGATTTGAACCAAAAGTTAGACAAAACATAGAATTGCAACAACAATAAAAAGCCATTTAGGAAGAGGATCAAGCCAAGCAGATAAGCAAACTTCATAAAATCAGCTTTCTGGGACTGTCCATCAATTCAGTTCCCTAATTTCAAAAAGCCAAGCCAAGCAAAGCATGCTGACTTACATTGCTTCTTCAGTTCTCTCAGCTGTTGCTTAAACTGCACATATTTTTCATTGTTTTGAAAGTCTGCATCAGAATTCTTATTCTGTAAAGCCAAAAACTTCTTCTCCACTAATAACTTTAGATCTGGTATGTTTTCTGGACGCTCTTCTTTTACCTGACAAAGACAATAAAACTATCTTAGTTAAATGTTATCAACAACACAGTTTTGTAACATTATTTTTACTTCATCTCATTCAAATGAAAATATAATGAGGAAGAAAACAGAATCCCCTCACTAGAGAACCAATCTGTTCCAAGGCAGATTGCTGGGGAAAACGGGAGGGAATCATTCTTACTACCTACTCACCGCTTTCTTCTTCTTTATTTTTACTAAACTTATTGGGGTGACGTTAATGTTAATTAGTTAAAAAGATCATGTATGTTTCAAGTGTATAATTCTGTAATATATCACCCATAGTCTCCTTCCATTACCCACTTTGCCCTTTCAACTTCTCCCCTGGATAAGCACTTTACTGTTACCTGTATCTATGTGGTTGTTTTGTTTTGTTTGTTCACTTGTTGCTTTCTATTTTGTTTTTGTATTTTGTTAATCTTCACGAAAGGATGTTTTTCCATTGCTTTTAGAGAGAGTGAAAGGGAGGGGGAGAGAGAGAAACATTGACGTGAGAGAGACACACTGATTGGTTGCCTCCCACAGGAGCCCAAACTAGGGCTGGGGATGAAGCCTGCACCCGAGGTACATGCCCTTAACCACAACTGAAACTGGTATCCTTCAGGCCCCAGGATGACACTATCCAATGAGCCACACCAGCTAGGGTTGTTGCTTTGTTTTATATCTCACATAAGTGAAGTCATGTGGTTCTTGTCCTTTTCTGACTTATTTTACTTAGCATGATACCCTCAAGATCCATCCATGTTGTCGCAAATGGCAGTATTTCATCTTTTCTTATGGCTGAGCAGTACTCCATTGTGCCCTAACTTGCCATCTCCCGACAACTACTGAAGAAAATTGGCACACAGCCCAACGCTGTGAGCTCTGCTGCACCAGGGCCTGCACCACGTCTTCCTTTAACCCAGGTCTGCTCGGCGCCCTCCCCTGCTTCCCTGAAACTCTCCCCTCTCCATTCTCATCACTCCTCCTTTCTGGCCTCTGCATCAGCAGGTCAGAGTGGCTCCAACCTCACAAAAAAGAAGTTGAGATTTTAACCTTGAACTTCACCATCTGCTGCCACAACAAGGAATAAATGCCTCCTTTCTGTTCAAAGCTAAATTCTCAATCTATGTTCTTGGTTTTCCTCCCAATATTTTATTATAAAAATTTCAAACATGTGAAAACTTGAAAGAATTGTATTTAACTATTCATCTACTATCTGGATGACACAATTAATGTTTTGCTATGAGTGCTTTATCACACATCTATTCATCTGTGTCCCTCTCTCCTCAACCTTGTTCTCAAATTCATTCTGAATTCCATCTTCTTTATCTCCCTCAGAAGAAACTTTCCTCTGTAAGTGCCCAAAGCCTTTACATTGGTTCTTTACACCCATCTTTAAAGCAAACAATCTCTCTAGTCCCTGTCCACTCCCTTGCTATTTTCTCTCCAGTTCCAGCTCCTTGAAAAAAAATTATCTGTACCCATTGTCTCTGCTTCCTCACCCTCACACATGACCCATCCCCATTGCTGTTGGCACCCACTTCTCTAGGTGGCTCTTCTTCAGCCCTTCATAATGGGCCCCTTGAATCACTGGCTGTTTCCTGATGCTCCTGCCACCAAGTAAAATTCACCAAATTCTCCCACGTGCCCTGATATGCTCTGGACAGAGTTCTTCCACAGCCCCTGTAATATTCAATTGCGCTTATTTTTACATGTTTCTCTTCCCTAATAACATGTAAACTCTTTGAAAGATGTCTCATTTATCACTGGGTTGCCAGGGCCTAGCAAACATCTGATTCACTCCAAACAGATTTACCCATTAAAACCCACATTTTATCAACTGTTAATAATTATTAGTAGAGTATAAAACATACTTTCTGAGCTGGAAGATAACTTGGAGATCATCTAACCTGGATATCTACCTTCTTCAATTTCATAAGTAAATAAAGTGATATAGAAAGAAGTTAAATGATTTCTCTACTATCATCCAGTCATTTAGAAGCAATGCTAAGACTATAAGATAGATACAAAAAAAATTCTTGGTATTGATATAATCTTGCTTAACTGCTATCAATTTTATTTTATTTTTTAATATTTTATTGATTTTTTACAGAGAGGAAGAAAAAGGAATAAGAGTCAGAAACATTGATGAGAGAGAAACATCGATCAGCTGCCTCTTGCACACCCTCTCCTGGGGATGTGCCCACAACCAAGGTGCATGCCATTGACCTGAATCGAACTTGGGACCCTTCTTCAGTCAGAAGGCCAATGTTCTATCCAATAAGCCAAACCAGGTAGGGTTGCTATGCATTTTAATTAGCTAAATAAAAATGAAAATTAAGCATAAAATCAAAATGCCTAAATTTATATTTATAGTACAGGGTGAAGGAATTGATTGTGTTCTCATTGCACTGATGAAACTCAACCAATGCTGGACCCAACAGCAAAGAGAGCTGTGGAAACAAAGAGAAGCTTTAATGACAAGTCTTATACGTAATTTAAAAATTTAAATAAGCCCTAGCTGGTCTGGCTCAGTGGATAGAGTGTCAGTCTGCAGACAGAAGGGTTCCAGGTTCGATTCCATTCAAGGGCATATGCTTGGGTTGTGGGTTCAATCCCCAGTACGTGGTGTGCAGGAGGCCGCCGATCAATGATTCTCTCATCGCTGACATTTCTATTTCCCTCTTCCTCTCCCTTCTTCTTTGAAATCAATAAAAATATATTTTTAAAAGTTTTTTTTATTAAGTCCTGTAAGGCTAAAGAAACAATAAAGCTCAATTTGGAAATGAGAAGGTGGAAAGGCAATTTATTAGTGCTTTATGTCTCAAGAATAAGAGCTATTACACATAGTGACTACTACACTCTACTCCTATACTAGATAGAACAAGATGAAACAAGTTCAAGACTGCAGCATGAAGAGTTCAAAGTAGATACAGAAAATAAATTATGAGTTCTTAGAAAGGAATCATAGTCTCTTCTTCTGGATTTATAAATTATAACCGACTCACATCCACCTGAGATGTTAATGGTAATACTACAAGCAGGCATACAGATGAACCTTCTCCAGGTCTTTAATGAGTCAAATTATTATTTAATCTGGGGTGATCAGAAAAGATCTGCTCTGAGCAGATGGTCAGTAAATACAAATGTTTTTTTCAACACAGTCCCTAGCTCACTCAACATACTTAATTTTACTAGTTCCACTATAAGGAAAAAAAGAACTGGAGAGAAGAGGGAGGGAACATAGAAGGAAAAGCATTTTGAGGTTGACAGCAATGGCGATCTGAAACATGACGAGGAAAACCTGAATAAACCAAATTTAGTGAGTCAGAGAACTTTGCTTTCCCATAGCCAGAACCTCAAGAGAACTGATGTACAGCACATAAATTCATAGCAGCAAATACCTTCTCTGGAAATCTGATGCTACCGTTGCATAGCTACACACTGCAAAGAGAATTTATTGCACTCTAGCTTTAAAAACAATACCCTGCAAAATATCAAATTCATTATCTGTTTAAAACAATGGGATCAATTATATTTTTAATGGTTACTTGCTTTGTTTGTATCTTGAAGAGAAACAGATACATAATCCCAAAAGGGAAATGAAAAAGCCATTGGTTGGTAGCCGATCTTAAGTGTTATAAGGTTTGAAAAGGGAAGAATATCCCTCACTTCCTAGGACAAATTTAAAATACTTCCAAGAACTTTGAGAGGGAAAGAGAGGATCTATTAGAGCCCAGGCCATTCGCTCCCTAAGGACAAAGCCCTACATACAGGACCTGACACCCCAGTGAATTAAAGCGCCAGGTGCATTAGCTTGCTAAGGCTGTCAGTGAGCCACAGACTAGGTGGCTTTAGCAGGAGAAATGATTTTCTCACAGATCTGGAGGCTAAATGTCTGAGACCAAGGTGACAGTAGAGTTGGTGTCTTTTGAGGCCTCTCGCTTTGGATTGAAGACAGCCATCTTCTTGTGTAATCACATGGTCTTCCTTCTGTGTGTGACTGAGTTCAAATTCTCTCTTCTTATAAGGTCACCGGTCATATTGAATTAGTGCTCATTCCAATGACTTTATTTAAACTTAATCATAATTTAAAGCCCTATCTGAGGTATTGGGGATTAGGGAACATAAGCATTTTCAGGGAACACAATTCAGCACATACACTGGATTAATGAATTTTTAAAACAGAATTCTTCAAATAGCTTACAAATAATTAATCTTTATACCACTATAGTTTTAAAATGATAAAACTACTGAGAAATAAACTTAGCAAGTATACAGACATAAGGAGAATTTCATACTGCCCTCGGGAGAGAATAAGTCGAGTTTTAATGCACCATCCACTTACCCATCCAGTATTCAGTGAATGCCCTCTATGTGCTAAGCAGTGTAGCTAAATAGGAGGAGAGACCAGAAAAGTTGACTGGGAGCAGATGGTAAACAACTCTGGGAGCCAGGCTATGCAAGTGAGCCCTGACCTGATTAGCAGCAGAAAATATTTGAAGGAGTAAAGAAATAATACCATGAGAACTTTTAAAAAATTATTACTATAAGATGCCTCACAGACAGAGAGGAAGAATGAAGTTAATGCTGTATGTTAACTAATGGAAGAGGGGTTGGCAGTCTGGTCCAATTATAAATGTTATTTGTGAAGCAGAATGGCTGAGTCTTTTTGTGAGAAGAAGACCAGGACTGATGATGACTGTAAGATGGTCAATATTTAATACTAGAGGCTCAGTGCACAAAATTCGTGCACGGGGGTCGAGAGGGAGGGGAAGGTGATGTCCCTCAACCCTGTCTGCACCCTCTCCAATCTGGGACCCCTTGAGGGACACCCCTCTCACCTGCCAGCCTTCCTGATTGCCCCTAACCGCTTCTGCCTGCCAGCCTGATCACTCCCTAACCACTCACCTGCCAGTCTGTGTGCCCCTAACTGCCCTCCCCTGCAGGCCTGGTCAACCCTAACTGCCCTCCCCTGCAGGCCTGGTCAACCCTAACTG